AAAAAAATCAGGCCTGTACGGGATTCGAACCACTGACCTCTGCGATACTAGTGCAGCGCTCTAACCAATTGAGCTAACAAGCCAACTGAGAGCAGGCCGTTAAGTTGATTCGTAATGAACCCGTGAAAGTGATAAATGAGATAGAATAAATATATGAAAATCATATATTTTGAACTGCGGTATTTGATACGTATGATGGACGATCCTCGCAGTAGATAGCGCTATTTGAGCAATAGCGAAATTCAGACCTGAAAAAAATCAGGCCTGTACGGGACTCGAACCACTGACCTCTGCGATACTAGTGCAGCGCTCTAACCAATTGAGCTAACAAGCCAACTGAGAGCAGGCCGTTAAGTTGATTCGTAATGAACCCGTGAAAGTGATAAATGAGATAGAATAAATATATGAAAATCATATATTTTGAACTGCGGTATTTGATACGTATGATGGACGATCCTCGCAGTAGATAGCGCTATTTGAGCAATAGCGAAATTCAGACCTGAAAAAAAAAAAAAAAAAAAAAAAAAAAAAAAAAAAATCAGGCCTGTACGGGATTCGAACCACTGACCTCTGCGATACTAGTGCAGCGCTCTACCAATTGAGCTAACAAGCCAACTGGGAGCAGGCCGTTAAGTTGATTCGTAATAAACCCATGATGATAAATCAGTTACAATGAATATATGACCTTTTTTCAGGTCTGATTTTCGCTATTGCATAAATAGCGCTCTCTACTGCGAGGATCGTGCATCATACGCAATGTTATAATATATACGATAACATTCATTCCTATCATACTTCGTTTGTATTAACTATGTAACTACAGCTGGACAAAAATTGTAACATTTTGCGAGAGATATCCAGAGACCGTAGTACTTTAAGTAAGCCGTACATAACCCTAATCGAAAGAGCCAGTTCAATATATATAGGGTGAGTCCCCAAATTGGCCTTTCAACCTTGCTTTCCAATAACCTCCTTTGTACACATAGCAGAATGTTCCAGAATCCGGATCTTCCAGGGACACAAACCATCTAAACAGAAAGAAAAGGCGTTAGGAGACAAATGACTAAAATGCCATGATAGGTTCCACGATAGGTCTTGGTTCAGGGTTGTTACTTCAAGCACTTTTTTGGTACTGCGGGGCTAATGGACGCAAGCCGCTTCAACAAAGAGGAATATAAAGCATCAGCTGTAATAAAAAAAAATATATGCACTTTTTTTCTCATGACAGGACGTTAACTTTTTATTTGGCATCTTAAAAATGTTGGTTGACGATTCTCGAAACGATTGTATGTCAATGAAGCCAATGTCAAATCTATTTTGAAGTACGGGTTTTGCCAAATCCGGTAGGAAATATCTCATAAAGAACGATTATAATTGAAAAAGTTGTTGCGCATGGAAACGCTCTCCGCGCACTTTTTTGGAAACCAATACGCGCATCGATACCGTACCGAAAGACTTCTGATGTTGACTTTTAATGATCATCCACGCACTAATTAAGGTAATTATCTGGGGGAAAACATATTCAACTACACTTCAGCCTTTATACATTTTACAGAAAAAAGCAGTGCGAATCATGACTTTTTCCTCATTTGATGAACATTTAGATTGTTGGCAATTATGAAGCTCTCTGATCTTCTTACAATTCATATTGCACTTTTTATGCATAAATTTCATAAAAAGTTATTACCTTTCTATTTTGATAGCTTCTTTAATTCAGTACTTAGTATCCATAACTACAATGCACGAAGTGCAGCAAATCAATGTTATTACTTGCCTCAAGCTAGAACAAACTATGGAATTTTTAATATTCGCTTTCAAGGACCAAAGGTATAGAACTCTCTTGGGAAAGATATAAAGTGAACCCCTTTCGGTAAATTTAAAAAAACAAATTAAACATGAATTACTGTGCCAGTGTTAATGTTACCCTGGTTTTTTTTCATTCCCCAGAGTAATCAGTCTCTTTCCTAGCTATTCCTGTGATTTATTTTGTTGCTCTACGCTTTTTTCTTTTATCATAATTGTTCAGGATTTCATTTGTAATATATAAATATATATAATATTTTTTCCATGACTTGTAAATTTCGTTTATTCATAATTATTTATAGTTCAATTCTGGCTGTGTGTCTGGCTGTGTGTGTGGCTCTGTGTGTGGCTGTGTGTGTGTGTGTGCGTGTGTGTGTGTGTGTGTGTGTGTGTGTGTGTGTCCCGACCCTAATATTGTAATTCCAGGGTGTCAAGTGACAAATGACACTTAGGAAATAGGAAAATAGGAATGACAGTGGCCAAAAAATAGGAAATAAATAGGAATTCTCGCCACAAAATAGGAAAAAAATAGGATTTCTTTGAGTTCTATCCTCTGTGAACTCTGTTCCACAACCCAACGCTTTTTATTTAACAGGCAGCATGACATACATCCATAATGCAATGCAGCCCCACTTCAACATGGCAAATGCACATACATGCAAATGAACCTCCCAAAATCCCTTGTATGTTATCAAAAGTACTAAGAAAGTCTGGGCACTAGCTTCAGAAGAAAATCACTCAGAAAGGCTTCAAACTGGTCTTTTTTGATATGAAGTTTCAGTTTTTTGTAGAATTTATCAATTTTATTTGCAATTTTATTCCAAATATTTCAAAATTTTTCTGTGTACCTAGTAAAACCCTAATAAAAAAATAGCAAAAACTAGGAATTTCATGAAAAAATAGGAGAAAATAGGAGGCAGGCCAAAAAATAGGAAAAAAAAATAGGAAAAATAGGCAAAAATAAGAACTTGACACCCTGTAATTCATTCTATGAAATTTGGCTTCCTAGCCTTGTTAACCTTCTAGTTATTTTAGGAAGCCAACACCCTCTTAGTTTTAATTTTTTATTTGATGTTAATTTCATCTTCTCAAGAATAAGGGTGAATAAAGTTGTTGTTGTCGTTGTTGCGCTAAGTTTACAACTTATGATCATTGCCACCATCACTAGTAACTCCACCGTAGATTTTGATGGATGGTTGGGTGAGAATGGATGCTCAAGCAGATTAGCTGTGGGAGTTGGAGACTCGGACTCATAACGTTTTTGATCTGCCTTTCGAATCTCCAGATTGAGACAAAGTTGTCTAACTCTATGACTGAGAGTCTTATCGGACGTTTGCCCTATGAACGAGGTGGTTATTCAAAACAATTTCCTGATTAGTCAGCGGTATTTTGATGTTGACAATCAACGAGAATTAATTCGCGCGAAACCTTTTGCATAATTATCCATCTTTTCAAGCGTTATTTACATTTGTCATTTCTTCCACACTTCTAGTCCTTCATATATGTTTGTTACTTTCTTTAACAATCGACAATAACAAGCAAATGCTGTTGTTCGTAAAATTCTGGTCATGACAAAAGAAGACAAAACAAAGAAAAAAAATAAAACCAAGAAGCTACCAAAATACATAATTAAAACTACCTTGGTATCCAGGCCTGGCCAGTTAGGTCTCTTTGCTTCCTAGTTCCTCTCTGTTTTTCCTCTAGGCGATGCTTTTCGCTGGCAGAAGGATCAATCTTTTAGGACACAAGGTTAAGAAAAAAATATTTAATTCCAAGCGATTTAAAATGGAAGGAGAGAGTGTACAGTGGAAATAATTTGCTTTGTCAACCTCACGGCCAAGGCTTCACCAAAGATTACAAATGGAAAAGCAAAGCAAATGGAGTGGATGACAAAGGTCCTACCTGGTAAAAGGGGTATGTTTCTAAAGAAACTGTGGTGTTGCGTCGGTGGAGGTAACAGGGTAATTTGGTTTTATCAACTAAGTTGAAATTCTAAATTGACCACCGTTAAGAGTTAAAAATCTGACGTTTGGAGCGTTAGCCCTTCATCCATATGGTAATTAAGTTTTGGCGCATGAATTTTGGCGATAATCGATTATATAAGGAAAGTTGAAGGACAGCATTGCCACTAAAGTGATAAGTGCTTATACGCTTGCTCGCAAATACGTGATCGGAGTTTTTACTTAGAGTCAATTTTGAAACAATTTGTAAAATCACGTCCTCAAGAAACCTTATCTGCAAAAACACCCCTTACATCGTAGTGCGACAAAAATATAAGCTGTGTGCACCAAACCTTTCCACATTCCAGGAGCCGAATATCTGTCCTGACTCGACAGTCGGTGTGGCATGAAACGTCTATGGAAAAAGGCTATTTAAGTATCTCAAGCTGGAGAAGGTATTAAAGAGAAAGACCACAGTCAAGTGAGCACTTACAGCGTGTGATTCACTATTTTTTTTTACGTAACATATTGATTTTTTCTTTACAGTTGGTCTAATTTGAATGAGATTTCCAATAACGCCTTTTAATGTCAAAGTTTTGATTAAAATAAAAACTGGATCAGCCTCTTTATGTCAAATTAAGTGCGAACGAGCTGGCACTACCACGCGGCATGACTCGAGCCTATCAATTCCAATTCTTTATATCTAGAACGATCACAGTCCCCTACGAATTTAGGTTACTTGTCGCCATGAAATTCACTTCAAGACTTCTTTCAAAAGGCAACACCTCCTATGAAATATTGAATCGCTAGTTTTATGAATGATGTCGATGATCTGAGTTAAAAAACAGGTAGCAATCACTAATTACGTAGGTCAGAAGAGTAGAGCGATCATGAGCTTAAGCATGCTTTGCCCTTAACCCATGTGCGGATTATTCATACCAGAGAAGTTGTACACAGACTGTACTTCACTCGATAGCACTGGGACTCTATAAACGCATAATTCGGATTCCTTGAATAAAAGGAACTGTATAGTGTGTTTTCACAGCAAAAAATAGTGAGTTGAATGTGTTGGCATAGGAAGAAATCACGATCAGACGCTAATTAATCACTGATTTGAAAGCTTTAACTCATAGGAAGTAAAACTGTTTAGGGAACACTAACGAAGTACATTATAATTTCTCAAAATTTGGATAACATTTTGTTCTTGAAATATATGGGAGTTCCAGTACTTAACATAATTGTTCGAGCATACCTATCGAGGGAGACCATCGTTGACGGGCCTTAGCTTACAGAATGAAATTGTTTTTTTCTTTTTTCGAAAGGTTTTTGTCACTGACTGCCAGTCGCATGGAATGCAATTGAGCCACCATAAATTGAACAATATGGTGAGAAAACTTGTAAATAGCACTTTTTCTCAGCTTCGAAGAGCCGTAATGGGTTTCGTCTGACGATGAAATGCTGTGGAAAAACAATCAGTCGAAACACAAGCTCGAATTCAGTCCCAGGTCTTGCAAGGTGATAACTTCGTGGAGTTTTTTTCATTCTGTTCTTTTTTAGTAACGTGATTGTGCTATTTTTTTTTTAATTTGAAATGATAATGCTGTTTGACATTAATATAACTTAATAAAAGGAATGCATCTTAACTCATGTAAATATACTGGCACAGTTCTCGGATAGGTGCAGCTACTAGCTACTTCAGCGAACTTAACCCCTCGGCTCATTAGAGTTTTGGGTCACTGTTATCTGACTTTTTTAAGTGGTACAAACCCCACCCTCAGTTCTGGCACAGGTCCCCCAGAAACTTGTCAACCTGCTATAATCAGTCATGACTTTTGTTTTGGAAGGTTGTTACTTTCTCAAGCCACAGTAGGCTTGGTATATATACTTATATACTTAGTATATTTCACTGTTCCCCCAAATCCCTTTTTAAAGTGTGTACAAACCCCTTTTCATTAATAACATAACATAACATTTATTCAGGAAGCTAGAACGCAAATGTAAACAAATACATCCTGAAAAGGGATGGTTAGCCGGTGGTTAGCCGATGGTTAGATGGTTAGTCGTGAGGTTAGCCCTGTATAAAAACAATTTCCCTGATTAAAAACATACAAAAGATAAAATTTAATGGCTACAGATTCATAATATNATGCTGTTATAAATTGTAACCTTACATCATTCTTGCATGCTATCCTTTTCTTGTTTTTCTACTCTCTCCACTCTCGCTCTCTCTTTTTTGTTCAGTTCGGTCAATCGCTTTTTGCAACAGCAGTGAATAATGTCACCGTAGAAGTGCACTAGGGCCCGACGCTTTTTTCCGGACCGGCTCACGTCAACCCGTCAGGACCTACACACATCAGCTTTCACTACGGTTTTCTATGAAATTGCGCGAGGACGGGCCGGACTGGTCAAAGCGATATGTACTTTTTGGTAGTTGAAAGAACTACTGTTGGTTTTTATCTTTTTAAAACATTACAACAAAAAAAAAAAAACTCGAATGAACTGAGAACGCTAAAATATTGGAAAAGTAATAAATAAATATGCCCCAAATGCACATGGAAGATCGCTAAATTTTCCCGTAACAATACTGAGCAAGGATATTTTGACATGTTCTTTCCTTCTTGCTTTCATTTTCCAATGCTGCGATTATTCTAGCAACTCTCATTGTTTCGGCTTTCGAATGATCAAAGGGAGAAATAAGGGAAGAAATGTGAAGAACAAATAAACTCTTAATTAAAGAAAATAGCAGTAGAAAGTTGAAGCAACAAATGTAAAACACCAACTCCTCCATTTATCATCGTCTCAGACCAGCCTTAACCGGTTTGTAGTAAACAAAAGTGATAACAATAAAAAGGAAATAACAACAACAATAAGAACATAAATTGAAAAAAAATGCAGTCACTGATATTAACGAAAATTACTGGCATCGACACTAGTTCAAGAACAGACGACGGCCATCGGAATTCCCTTTCGAAGAGCTAGAGGAAATAAGTTAATATTTGAGAAGAGAAGATTGAACCAAGTGACAGTAGAGTCAACCGAGTGGGTAAAGTATTAGCTGCGTGTCGACCGAGTATCGTCGGACATGCGCGTCGGTCGAGAGGTCACTGAGTTCGTTTGACAAGTCAGCCAATACTCGGTCGCTATATCGGTCAAGTATCAGCCAATATATCGACTGAAACTCGTCGACATGTCGAGCGATAGTACCACACATGATCCCAAACGTAGTAATTAAACATTTTCCATATTTACCTCCAAAGCTCATTTAAACAAAGCTATGAAAAACCACTTCAATAACCTTTACTTAATATTTCTCTCGCTATCTGACTCTTCTATTTTCTAGAAAATGTATCTACGAATTTACCATTGTCTAACCCTGAATGAAATTACAATTAGCCACTTCAATCTACAGTTTACTTGATACGTACCATATTCTGGATCATTTAATTGAATTGAAAATTGTGTGAAGCCATAATATCTGAAAACAATAAGACCGACACAATTGTTACCAGGGTATTATTTATTGAAAAAGTCGCAAAAGAGCTGTTAAAAATACTACTCAAAACTTAGAACACTATTTAACTTCACAATGATTTCTTATAATAAGAAAATTCTCTATCTGCTGTATTCTCAGGCAAGGAAACACCTTTTAAATCATGGTTCAGGCAGCCACCCCCCGAAATAATTTCCACAAAGCAGAGACGGGCATACAAGTAATAACTGTTGAGAAATGAACAATTAAGATATTTTTACGCCAAAATTGAAGATTTGACCAACTTGTGTCACCTTCAGTCATGTTCGTCGAGGAAACTATTACATTTTCACCATGTAAAATTAATTATATATTATTGATCAATATTATTAATAAGTTTTGACCTGCCAAAATTGCAAGTCCACCCAGTTTCTCATTTACACCTTCTCTGATAAATAATGAACAGCCTCTTATTAGAACTTAGTACAGTGTGTAAAAGTTCCATGCTTTGCATATCAAAACTTTATTGTGTGGTTCCAGAAAATATCCATACCCCCCCCGCCCCCCACGGAAGATCATTGGAAATTCTGAGGGGGAGGGGGGTTCAAGGGCAGTAATTTCCGAGGGGTAGGGGGGTTTCGTGGGATACTACTTTTCCAAAGGGTAACGAACCACGTACAAAACATTCAAAGCAACATATACGATCAACCTGAAGCACAAAAACATACTCACGTACGTTATTTTGAAACAAAAGTCAGTACTCTTGGCCATTGAGATGAAGTTAACATTATAAGCTTTAATATTTCTGTTTTTCTTTGAGTTAGCTAGCGCTACAACCTCCCAAAGCTAGGAACGGAGTCAAAACGATTTGAAATAGCTGTCTCAACATGGCCGTTCCCATTTCTTGCTAACGCCAGGCTACCTAGCTAATTTAGTAAATCGTGGCGATGTTCACAAAACCTGTGTGCTAGTGAAGTTTTAGGTCTTTAAATAAGAATCAATCCGAAGAAAGTGACAAAATGTGTAGACAAAGGAACCTTGTAAGTTTCTGTTTTATTTACTACCGTTTGCAAAGTTAAGCGAGTGAAGCGTTCTCATCGGAGTTAGCACGAAAACGTACGCGGAACAGTCGACGTTTTACATCAGTTTAAATTTTGCAACCCAGATGTTTAAGCTTATATATTATTTTACGTAAAAACAACACGGATACGATTTGCCAAAATGATGGCAAAGATGCCAAAATGATGGCAATGATGCCAAAATGATGGCAAAGATGCCAAAATGATGGCAAAGATGCCAAAATGATGGCAAAGATGCCAAAATGATGGCAAAGATGCTAAAAGTATAAGCTTAACAAAGCGTTATATTTTTAATAAAGTTAACCTTAATGTTTTCAGTGTTGTAATAAAATTCTACCGCATTTACGTAACCAACTTAGTATTCACTTTCTCTTTTTTTAAGTATAAAAACCACTTTGAATTTCCGACTGTGGTAAGAATTAAGTCCCCGATTAAAATTCTGGAAATTCCTGGGGGGAGGGGGGGTCATCAAAGACCGCATGCAACGGAAAATCCTGGGGGGTGGGGGGTGCAGATCAAAAAGTCTTCCGTGGGGGGTACGGATATTTTCTGGAACCACACATTTTACCTCCAGGAATCTTCAGGTTTAGTGTTTGCAGTCCACAGGTCAATAGGATCCATGTCTGTGTCTGAAAAATACAATATGCCACCAAAACACTGAGTTAACCAAGGTCAGAGTAGAAGTGAAAGATTACAGTCTTGGTATAGGTTATCACTCCTTTTTAACAACTCCTACTCCTAGAGTGCTCAGGCACTTGCTTGCTTTATTTTACCTAGATGTATTTAATTTGTAAATAAAACCCACCTATGCATCTTACTTACACAAGGAAGAGCCATCTATGCATGTGCTATCTGAGAAATCTGTTCTAAAATACTGAGATCATTGACAAGATACCTACAACATACATCATGGTCTCAACAAATTGAAAAAACTCAGCCTTTATTAGTCAATCACACCCTTGTTCCATTTGGTATACTATATTAACCTCTTTTGTGTTTCTATACCATCCCAATATTTTGGTTTTACTGTAATCAATAACAATTTTCAGCAATTTGAAACAACTTTTACCACAAAATATGCATTTTTTACATGGCCCACAGTGATAATCTAGGATTGCTGTAGCTCTAAAAGTGAAAACACAATTAAATATAACCTGAAGGAGCAGCAAGTGTTATTCTATATCAGTGGCCGCATACTAAAATGCAAAAGTAAGTCAACATACCATCTACAGAATGCAATTCAAGGCCACGGTCCCATGCTCCAACAATGTTATATTTCACATGACCCTCTGAATTTAGCACTTCACCTGCAATACATGGTGCCAACACTGATGACTGTGAATGAGCAGATATTTTTCATTTTCATAAGGTTACAAATCTATTATGGGTGGACAAAAAGGAAACTTTTCTGAGGTAAGGTTTGAGGTGGGGTTGTTCTGGAACATTCCAAAAGATACTTTAACTAACATAGCCTAAATGTAGCATTTAAGGGTAGTAATCAAGTAATAGTAATCAAAGTTTAATGCCTACGTGGGGCATGGTTACCCATATAGCCCAAGCCAGAGGCTCATGTGTGAAACGCAAGACAACAACCTACCCATCCCAACCCAGGAGTGGACATTCATCACAGTAATCTGGTGCATGGGAATTTAACATCTCCTACCCCTAACCCTGCAAGAGATGGGACCTCCATTTATTCGTCCCTATCCGAGAAGACTAGAATATCTAAACCATTTCTTAATGTTATAGAAAGACAGCCTATTCTTCTCAATTATTTCGAGACCTTGAGTGTTGGTCCGGCCGGGGCTCGAACCCTCGACCTCCCACACATCAGTCCAGTGCTCTAGCCATTGAGCTAACCCGGAGGCAGTTGAATGGTAAACTTAAACAGCAACAACTAACCCTTTATTTTATCCTAATATAAATTGCATTTTCCCTGATGGCCCTATGACCTTAAAATCCACACAAAAACAAAACTTGGACACCATCCTTAAAAAATGTTCACTTCATATTGTTGGTTAGTGACTGAGGAAGATGCTAGGATCACTGACATCTCATGTCCCAAAGACTGTTGATTAGGAGACAGCAATTAATTTTCTTATTGAGGTAATTTGCTGTACATCTATTTGAAATCTCGTCGTAAATAAAAGATAAGATTAATAGGCACCTTCTAAGTTCAAGAAATAGCAACAGAGGCCTAAAATAATATGCATGATCATTCAGAAGACCTATGATGCGATTTAGCCAAGATTTTGTTTTATATGAATTTTCTCAAATAATATACATGATCATTCAGAAGACCTATGATGCAATTTAGCCAAGATTTTGTTTTATATGAATTTTCTCAAGGATAAGATAAATGAAATGACCACTTTTATCAACTACCACTCATCATTGTGTATTTAGGTTGTCTTTTCTGGTGAGGCAACCATACCATGATCTTAGGTCAGTTCAGTCAACACTAGAGAGATCACACTGCAGATTTGCCTGAACATCACCAAAAGCCCTACTGTAGCTCTACTATAGACAGTGGCATTATCTACAAATTGGCAATTTCTGTTCCCCCAGGACAAAGGGAGATCATGAGTAAATAGAAGGAAGAAGACATTGCCCTAATTGGAGCCTGGTGAACACAACATACTCAATACTTAAGTAATAGATAAAGTGTGCTGTGAAAACCAGCTCTCTGATTTATGCCACAATTTCCACATGAATACAAGCAGATGTCAGAACAAATGTGTTTCATTCAACCATCTCTGCTGAAAAGGTATAACACTTGATTCTGATAGAGAAAGACCTCCTGATCAACTTGAGGGACTTGGTTTCAAAGATCTTAGAAATAATTTAGCCTTGAACTACATTACTAACTTGAAGAAAGGTTGTACCGGTATTTATTAAACATCTGACATTGTCGTAGAGGCGTTGCCATTTACAAAAAGATTGCATGGTGTAGGGTGAATTGATTGTAGTAGGTTGATATCCAAATAACTGGAGAAAGTTATGAGACTTACATTAAAATGAGGGAAAATCATTCATCATCCTATTTGATATAGGTTTGGGGGTCATTGCGCTAAGTACTTGCCTGTGATACAACATTTATGTGAAGATTATGTCTACACTTGCATATCCTTTTTGGCTTACAGAGTCACAACTATGATGCAGTACTGAAATTCTACAAATGGCAATAAATACACATTCATTCTCAAACTCTACATGTTTGCATTAAGGGATACAACCCTATCTCTTGTGTTATTTCAAAATACCTGAAAGCTTTTTGAAGTTCTCTTGGACTTCCCTTACAGGTTGAAAGTGAAGTCTACATTGCTCTTGCGTTGAGTGATTTGTCACCACAACATCTCCTTCCTATGAAGTCATAAAAAGGCCTCTTTAATCTATTAATTTTAATGGCAGGAGCTTACCCTATGATCAGCTTTCCCTCCCTCAGACAACTGTAATCAATTGTTTGTTGCAAAGTTATCCAAGAAATTGAAACAGGCACTCTCCAATGCACCTGGTAATTCGGTAAAAGTTATCTCTGATAGGCTTTTTTAAAACGTATTTAGATGTTATGTTTGGTTTGGTTAGGTTTGGTTTCAAAAAGTACAGTAAGCAACTTGTATAATTAATCTCACTGCCCAATCATAATGGTTCCTACAGCATATAAAAATTAGGTACTAAATTTTACACATGTTCTTGTCTAAGTCAACAACAAAACACAAAAACATTGTATGGGCAAAAACCAAAGAAAACAGGTGGCTATGTGTCTTATGAGCTTTTTAGGATAAAAATTTTGTATTTGCACCTTATTTCCTCTTTAAGTCTTGCTGACTAAAGCAACTTACCACCTCAGTTCTAGTTTTCTAGTTTTCTTTAATAAAAATGTAGCCATTTGCTAACACTGATTATCACTCGTGTCAATAGATATGCACATGTAATGCTCACTTGTTTTTTTGAAA